GACCGATTCTTCTTCGGGATGATCCATGCTAAACATGGGTGTCTCACTCAGACCATCCATGTAATGGCCGAGCGCTTGCTATCCCTGGTGCTATTTTCGCTCCGAGAGGTGAGTTCTCAACTTCTGTACAGATGACTGGGAAAGGAATAGAGCTGGTAACCCTTTGCACGACCTCACAAGAAGGGAGAGTTTTGGCTCCATCGCTTTTCTCCAGCCAGGAATCGATCCCCACGCTTACCTGGCTATGTACTAACCGTCAACGAGACCACTTCTTCCTTCTCAACTCAATATTTTTTCCTTTTCCTTTTCTACTTTTCCACCCTGCAGTTCTAGTTCGTACAGTAATGAATGGGCATGACTATGAGGGAGAGTTTGCCGCGCCGCCAGCCCGTTCTTTGCCAGTTGTTGAAGCGGATAAGCCACACTAACTGGACGAAAACGACTGGTAAGAACGACATGACACAGTCTTGTCGATTGCCGAAAGAAAAGAAAGGAAAAACGGACTAAGGCCCCGCGACAAACCCAATACTTGACGCGCTTCACTCGCAGCGAACAAGACTGTAAATGTCGTATAGTTTGCATAGTGTTCTGACTACCACTGCCACAAAACGTCAAGGATCAGCAGGGTGTGGCTCTGTTGTAGGAGCTGACCGCATCTCGAACAGTTCAAAGAACGCAGCGCACAGGTAGGTGGTTGGATCATATGATGAGGATGTTGTTTGAACAGTGACAACGACCAAGCGGAATGCGCTCGAGCATTTTCGAGTGAAAGGGCAGCCGCAAATAACTTTCCACTGCTCAATGAGCTGAGACATTTTTGCGTCAATATTTTCACGTGGATTATGGCGGCTAGTTTCACATGAGTGCCACACTTTCTATGACCCACAACACTTTATAGTACTGCTAGTCTTGTCTGTGAAGGTATAAACACTCTGTTGAACGTGGTTCATGACAACCAGTCTTACCATCCGGTTTTCGGATGTTTTTATACTGAAATCGCATTCAAATGCAACTACTGTTCTGAAAAAAAGTCAGGCACATGGCTCATCCCAGAGGAAAAGAAGCTCGAAAGCAGCATGAGTTATTCGCTCCCTCCAATCGTTTCGTTTCTCTTGTAAGGGACTTGAGTACTTTCTGAACGGTTCCGCTCTGGTAAGTTGACTGAGCTGCAGTACTGCTGATCTCACAGCGTCAACGCTGAAACTGGCGAATAGGTGAACTACCATCCACTGTAAAGGAACTGGATGTTAACATATGAATACATCTTGGAGTGCGCCATGCAATCGAACTTCCTTCAGGAATCAGAGCGCAATTACTGTGCAATGCAGCTACTTTCAAAAGCCTTGCAAAATGAAGTGCGCCTTGTTCTTAAGGATGGAAGACATCTTGGTCTAAGAATAACACGATCGTGGGGATCGTGTTGTTGACCAAACTGGGTGTACCCGATGCTGTTCAAGTGGATCTTTTCGTAGGCTCACTTTCACAGACATATCCCGCTAGTACTTACCAGGGAAGTCCGCCAGCTTACCATGGAACTTTGAATGGAGACCTGGGTAGATCGATAGAGTCTATAAGGTTATTTACAAATATAGATAGCAAAACTGCAACCTGCATTTCACAAGCAACTTATGAGCAGGTAAAGTTTGTAATGGTGCAGTAGGGTGGAGGCTTGGTGGTGAGCTGTGAAGCATAAGCGAGGAATCGCATACGTCGAATCGAGTCGTCGAACGTCGAACCTTACCACTGAACCACCACGACTCGATTCGACGTATGCGATTCCTCGCTTATGCTTCACAGCTCACCACCAAGCCTCCACCCTACTGCACCATTAAACTTTACCTGCTCATAAGTTGCTTGTGAAATGCAGGTTGCAGTTTTGCTATCTATATTTGTAAATAACCTTATAGACTATAAATCTACTCTCCTCATCATTACGGACTGTCGGGGCGGGTCAGTGCGGCTGCGTTTTCCGCGGTGCCAAAGTCTTTCTGCACCAGTTGTTGAAGCGAGCAAATGACATGACAGCATTATATCCTTCGTATTACTCGTTTTCTACCACTTTTTGTCGCATACGCGTTTCAACGAAAAGGCTGAGAACGGCTTCAAAGTGTGCGCACTCCTACTGGCTGATACGCCCCGACAGTCCGTAATGATGAGGAGAGTACCCAGGTCTCCATTCAAAGTTAGATGGTGAGTGGCGGACTTCCCTGGTTAGAAAGGCTTGCTTGTGTGCGTTGGACAGGTCTGCAACAGCTCAGAGTTCTCAATTCGGTCACTCGAAAGTTCGGAAGTGCATGATAACCCCTCCCCTCCCCCTTTGGCTTGCGACGGGAGTATGATCCTTCTTCTCATGTCCTGACATTCTAACAACACGTATTCGCTGCATAGTGTTGCGCTGGGCAGCCTTCAATTTCGCGATGACGCGTCACCACGCGCTACCATTGCAGCAGCTTTCCAAGGCTATAGACGGGAACCATCCGTAGGCGGGTATCGGCCAGCGCCGACCACTAGGGTTCGGAGGAGGTGTAGGATAATAGGAGGATACGCGTTGCCATATCACACTGTTTTGCCACCCTCCCATTGTTTTGTACTCCATCAGAACACGGCTGGCGGCAATCGAATACCCGCTCGGTATCTGTGTGCCGCGCCAAGTACTGAGAGCTTATTGCAAAGTACGCGGCATCGTAAAGGCGTCATAGCGAAGTCTGAACGCTGCCTTAGCTTTCCACACACTCATTCTTTGTGCGGCTGTATGCCCTTTCGACCGCTCATCGTCCGGTCTCTCGTCGGCGCGCTCACTGTTTTGTCACTTCTCGCTGTCCAATGTCTCATATCAGCTGCGGAAATGAAGAGCAAGCAACTTTTTGTTTCTGTACCCAAGACCCTAGCCAGGACTTGCCATCGCGGACATGTTCTCCTACGCGAGTCTGCCATTTGTAAAACAGTTGTTCAAACTTCCTTTTGCATATCACATGAACCTCACTGTTGATTATTATTTAGCTAGTATCGCATGTTTTGTCCGCTATAAGTGTTCACTGTTATTAATATTATCATTGGTATCGATTAGTATTGATTTCAATGAACATTTATAAAGCGCACATAACTGTTGAATAAGATCGCGTAACTGTCGGATATTGTGTGGGGCCACAACTGCGACAGCGGCACAAGAAATTAGCCCAGTGGTTCTCTACGTAGTTCATACTCCAACACTTCAAGGTCAAATATTAATTAGGTCCTGATGCGACTGCCCCGCACGTGACACCACTTTCAACGCAGTGTTGTGGCAAAATTAATCAAAATGTTATCGCTTCCAATGCCAGCCTATGCCTCTCCCACTCCGTGTAGATGTAGCAAGCACGTACACGAATCTGAACAAGTGCAGTGCAAAGGCTATGCAAAATTAAAATATTCATCTATCTATGCATGCTCGATAGCCATGTCAAAACAATGGCTGAAGAAAAAGGCAATGACGAAAATGCGAACAGTAACGGCGTCAGTAGTAGCGAAAAAAAAAATATAACCCCTAAACATGAAATCCAAGAACTAGTAACTAACAGTTCTCCTACAACAAGGTGAGATCATACTGAACAAAATTATCTGACATAAAATGCACTTGATAACAACTACAACTTGAACAACTGCACATATCCTGGAGGTAGACAGGGCGTGGCAGCGTACTTCATTTGAACATGGCATGGGATGCTTATTTTCGTGGATTTTTTTCCTTTCAATATCTTTCATTTTAAGAACTGTCATGCCAAGTCTTGCGCTGGACAAAAATATGGATTGCAATTATCCTAAATAAAAAGATCTTGCAAACAGCCCGCGGCAGCCAACAATGTTCCAAAAAAAAAGTACGCGGGCACGCCGTCTAAAGCTGGCCTCGGATATGGAGTATCTGCAATTGTTTCATTTGAAGGTTCAAAGGACTAGCTAAATCAAGAATTGGTCTTTTTTTTAATGTTGGCCATTGAGAAGAGAGAATCGCAAGCCTTGGGCAAGCCTAGCACCTAGTCAAAAAGTGGCGCGACAGGAACAAGCGAATAAGACAATAAATTTCTCACACAAAAAAGAATTCACAGTCCACGAGAATCGCTTGCTAGCATACCTTCGCGCACTTGGTTTCAGCTCTGAGGGTCTTGTTCGATTGCCAATGACGCACTGCCTACGGTGCTGCGTGCGTGATGTACGTTTCACCACTTTGGCTCACTTGACTCGTGCACGCAGCACGGTTCGCGCATGCGTCCCGAAGTAGGAAAGGGAAGAGCTTCTACAACAGTCCGGGCTGCAGTAGCAGCGGTCACCGCACCGCACAGGATCTCTCTGATTTCCCGACACACATGGAATGCGCTAACGTGTGAGGGTAGGCGGATGTGGGATACTCTACGGCGCCTCTGTTTGCCTTCCCCTAAACAAGGCTTGGGCTAGGAGCGCAGCCAGTCGCAGCTGCCACGGGCTGCCTTCGCAAAGCAGACAGTCTACACGACTCTGACCGTTTTGCGCTCTAAGACTAAGTCTTGGTCAGGAGAAAGGACAAGGACGCGCAGGGTAGTGCTCCCCTTCCTCTAATACCTTAGCGCCAAATCAGATACTTCCTAGAAAACAATATACAATAGCAGATAAGTCGAACAGAAGAAATTCTAACTAATCGGTGTTAATCAACAAAAAATTCGCTTCCGCTTGAAGAAACAGGAAACCTCTAATCTGCTGTACTAGCACCTGCTTCTCTTGAGAAGCAAGCACGAATGCCAAGAAATATGGCAAATCTGCAAATTCAAGGGCGAACACTAAACTAGATTGAAGTTGAAATGCTGAGTTCTATGAGAATGCATCCGGTATCCTACTGCAGAGCCGAAAAATCCTAATTGTGATGGAATCAGGAGTCAGAAAACGGAATTATGTCCACCACTGATGGACAGTCAGAATAGCGAAGTAAGCAGAAACGTACAAGGTGCTCTAATTTCAATTTCTTGTAGTTGCCATTTGCTTGGAACCTGGCCTTAATCAGACTGACTATTCTCTGCGGTGCATTCGAGAACAGCCTCGTAAAGCTTTCGCGACTCTCGCAGTTTTTCTAGATCGGTACATCCTCCGACGAAACGTCCACATATGAATATCTGAACCAAAGAAATAAATTGTCAAAACGCTGGAAAATTCTAGGCCAGAGGCGGAGGCAGGCGACAAGACCACAGTGCACCGACCCTAGACGTCCGCGCTTCCTAAGGTCGAGTATGTTGGGAGAAGTGATCACTGTTTCAGTAGTAAGATGCAGCCTAGTCTCACCGCCTGCCTTCCCCTCCAGCTGACTCAGCTCAAGATTTTTCCAACAGCTGGCGGGTGAGAGGGCAGGAAATAGTTCGAATAGGATTCTAAAGGGGGAGGAGTCTGTGGAGCAGAAACTGTGCCTCACCTCCTTGAGTCTGTGGAGCACAAACTCTGCCTCTCCTCCTTTCCCCTCCCCCTTTCTTACGAATACACAGAAATCAAAAAGGGAAATTCGCGATACACTTGGACCACACACCTCACTGTGTTTTTCCAACTGTACTGATAAAGTGCGACAACTGAACTTAAGAGAAATTCTTACGTGCCTCGCAAGCGACCAGTCTGCAATATTGCGTCAGCGCTTAACAGCTCATACGGCAGAATAAGAGTCTGAGCGGGTGCAGAGAGAGCTCCGAGTTAGGGCGACCTAGTTTGTATTTTCCAGTGTTCCATAAATGAGTTGTAGTTAAGGTCCTTTGAAGCTCCAGAAGCTCACGATTGCAGGCTACCCGAAAGCTGAAGCAAAATTGCAGACTAGGCACTCCCAGGACTCATAGCGCTTAAAACGGGAATGAAACGTTACTTCGGAGTCGTGGCATCACGCGAACGAGTAGAATAATCCCTGTTTAGTTGATCAGACGGACGTGAGTACATGGGTAGCTAGTCGACTCGAGATGCAGAGAGAGTCGACGCGCTGCGCGCTGCTACGTTAAAGGCAGTTGGCACGATAAATCCCCCAAGACGAGTAGGATTAATACGCCTGGCAGGACGGAATTCCGCGACCCTGAGCAGGCGCTGCATAATGCCTTTTCCAAGGGAGGTGCCCTTATAAGGGCCCTATCAAGCCAAAACATTCATTTGCTAAGCAAATTATGAAGCGAAGGAATTGGTATGAAGCGGCCGTGATGCTGCATGGATATATGAGTACACATATGCAGCCGTACCTTCGGTAGCGGTTATTGGCAAGATGCCTACGGGAAACTCGTCCAAAATCGATTTACAAGTCACTGAGAGGCTTTTTCTTCGCAGGATTTTGACCGTTTCACTCCGTTCTTTCGCCATTTCCCCACTATATAGCGCCCTACTAGCATTTTAGGCCGAGCACCAAATCATCGTGCCAATTGCCTTTAAGTGGATTGGGTCCAGGTAAGTATGCGAACGTCATCACGTTCAAATTGCCTACTTCGCTGCTGTAACTCGGAAGTAACACCCCACATGACAAAGTAATAGTATTGATTACAAAGGACTCTAAAATCTACCTGAGGCATTGTCGTCTGCCTAGTCATATAAACCAGACCGTTGATTCGTGGCTTATACTCATTCGGATTTGATTTCTTCAGTCGATCCACATTACACTCAGTATATCTGAATCAACGCAGTATTGCTATTGTCGAATGAAACTACGAAGAAGGTAGTGGGGGGGGGGGGCACATGGTGCGTTGCTGTGCCACATCATTTCTGTCGTTCTGCACCCTCTCACTGAAGAGGAAAGTGGTGTGTGTGTATGTGTGTGTGGTGTGTATATGTGTGTTGTTACCGACTTCGAAGGCTTCGAGTCAGGTGACAGGGGAGAGGACGCGGTAAATGGGAGAGGAGCAGACACGAAACGTGGTAGTAGGTTTGCGACGAAAGCCCTAGCACCTTCCCGCCTCCGACCCTCCGCAAGACTGACGTTGCCCAGCATCTTGGGAATAACGCCTGTCGCTCAAGCGGATTTGAAAGGAACGGATTTTCATTTGGGGGGCAAGATGAGGTGCGCACTAATAACAAATGAGTACTATAAAAAGTGCATATTTGAGTATGGTTAGGAAAGAGCCGCTCCCTTGTCAGGAAAAAAACTTACTCGATCTGTCTCTTCAATGCGAGCAAAAGTTTTAAGGCTCGATTTGAGTACAGAAAGCCACAGTGTCCATTTTGACACCTTAGATGGTATACTCATAACAGGAGTCGAAGAGACACTGAAACATCAAATCAGATGGTTTAGTTAAGTTCAAACGCGTTGTTGACGCGAAGTAAGGCGTATTCCAAGTAAGTAGCAGCCGTTCAGACCTGTCGCGACGTCAAGACGACTCTTCCGGATCGCTGAGATGTGATTGGGTGTGGAGCCAACCCTAGGATGTTGCCCGAACAGATACTACTTTGTTCTGCACAGCTTGATGTAATGAATTCGATAAGAGGAGTTGAGCAACCATAATTCTCAGGCAGGCCGTTGTAGAGAGGCAGCCTGCCTGACAAATGTCGTAGAGTTTAGAGACCTGAGGCTGGCGTTCTTTATACTTCTGCGCAGTATTTCCACGCAGTGTCTAGCAATTTCCGTTATGCGTGGGATAACTTAGGGCCTTATGAGTTACACTCAGGTTGTGCTCCTCGAACCTGTGTAATACGTAGAATGTTCCGATTTGTAGAGAGTCGAAGAGCGAGAAAGCGAAAGCCCTCTTGTATTGTTATTTTTGTCCACACTAATCGTCTACTTATCCGAATTTCGATGCCCCCATTATAGAATCCTGGAAGATACAAAACTTAGGGCGAGGAATCTTTTCAAAAAGCTACGGGAACAAAGAAGCCAGCATTAAAGAAATACTAGCGAAGCGCCGCTGCAAGGATACAAAGGCAAACAACCTAAATAAAAAATTAACGTAAACAACAAGGTACGAAGAAATGGTTTGATGAAAGACTCAAGCGTTAAAATCTACTGTAGCTGTCAGCGTCTTGTTCTGCATTATTGCACGAAAATGCGCGCGTTTCATATTTTCACTCTATAGTATTGGCATTTATTTTCGTGTATTGTAGCTGTAGCCGTGTGTGCAGTAGATGGAGCGGAAGTGCGGATTCGCATAATCTCTGAGAAATGCGCGCGTTGGAAAAATTTGCGGTCTCGAATACGTCCTCAAGATCGTGCTCGCCTTTAATGGATTTTCTGAGGGACCTGGTTCTCAGGGTCACAATATCATACACGAAGTGCGTTTCTCTTCTCCGGCGGTCCGTTTTTATAAATTATTCCGTTGTTTCTCGTCTCCATCCTTCCTTCTTTTTCTTCCTTTCCTTAATCTATGACGGCCTCTTCTCGCTTTATACTCCGTCCTTCAAACGCTGGACTGTAAATGCCTCCGTGAAAGATTAGCCGTCGTTGGATTTCTCGCAGCGAGAGATCGTCTGGTTGACATCTGCCCCGTAACCATGTGTTTTGAGAGGAGATCTTGCTCATTGCCTTATTGCATGGTTACCATTGTACGATTCAGTTGAATTTCAATTTTAGATAACACTGCATTCCACCGAGGCTACGTGTGAGGTGGATACCGATTTAAGGTTGAATGTTTACCGTGTTATTGGCACGATATTATCAGAATTTCGCTAGTGGTGTGAAATCTCAAGGTAACTTGCCCTTATTTGTGGTCGTTAAATCTGGAACACTGTTCTTAGCTTTTCCCATCTGCTGAATGGAACTTCCAACACGCTTATTTTGGGGCCAATCAAAGGTTTCTTTGAGCCAAAATGGGATTCCCGCAATGACGCCGAGGACCCTCCATGTACTGTTTTCATTAACCTCGGCATGCTGTCGCTTGTTAGGTGCTTGGATTCAACTCCATACAAGGTTATTAAGTCTGCTCAACAGCACGGCACTCGTTCATTCGATGTTCAGACGCCTACTTCAGTCATGATAGACCTGCCTGCTAGCATGGAAGATGTACTACTTTCGCAGCTCAAAAATGCGTCAGGAATGCACGATCCGCTCGCGACAAAGCCACAGCCCCGCCCTCTGGCCACCGCAACGCCCGACGTTCATTCCTAGGGGCTTCATGATGGTACGGTTAATTTACTAAAAACCCCCATCATTTCGAGTGGTGAGGGTGAAGTGATAAGGGGAGAGGAGAGGAACTGATACGAACATGTGAGAACTTGCCTGCCGTAGCTGTTACAAGAGCGGTTCAGCATAGGGTTCCAAAGTGAGCATTCCAAGCGGGTTTTTTCCGCTTTCTTTCTCCACTTCGTGTTATATACTATCTTTTTATTAAATTTTTGCCGCACAGTTTGCCTTTTCGGAAGCGGGACGTGTTTTGAGTAGTTGAGAGTTATCTGGAGCATTTGATTGTGGTACAGTCAGTGGCACTTTTCACGATTTTGTGTTGGTCTCGAATTTCAGTAGGGCGTTCAGTCGGGTTTAGTTACAGATTGCTCCGATCGTCTCAGGCCCTGGAGGAAAGCAATCCGCCAAAACGTAGGCAATAAATCTATTTCACCAATTTCACTAATCTTGCATGGGCTCGAAACTGAGCATCTCACAAGGAGAAGAGGACTTTTGCTCAACTGTAGAGGGAAGGAGGTTGCGGGTTGCTAAACGTCATACTACCATTTGGATCGAGTTACTCCCTTCTCTGCACGAGAGTTCCTCTAAATGCCCCTCCCCTCTGGGGTTATTATTGCTCTGCCTCAAACATGTCTATCTATTTTGACGGTATCGCTTTTTCAGAAACAAAAGGCGGCGTAGATTTCGACGACGACTTTGATATCATGAGTTGCCCTGATGAGGTTTGTGCTCGTTTCTTTCCGTGACGCAGAAGCATTTCTTTGGGAGCACTGTCAGCAGTGTGAGTGCACCCATGCACCCCTTTCATATGCAGATTCCGTAACCCTAGCACTGAAATTCGCCGTATTGATTGAGGTTGAACTGGGAGTTATGCTGGCGCAGAAAAACAACTGATCTTCCACTTCTTGCTGAATGGGCCTTATCTTCCTGAAATAGTGATTAACCTTTCTCAGCCCTTGCAAGAGTAAAAAAATTCTACAGAAGCACCAAATATGATCTCTTTTACTCCCTGGGTGTATTGCAGGAGCTCACGTCGCTGCGAGAGTGACGCTAGACGCAAGCGTTGTCAAATGCGCGGCTTTTATCACCAGAACCCACCAGCTGATAAACCGTGCTATACGTCGAGCTAAGGCTGCGTTTATACTTTGCGGCAGCGTAGCGTAGCGCTTCCAGCGTACGCCAGCGGCAGTGTCCGGGAAAGGATGGATATTGACCTAGCGTTGCCAGCGTAACGCTAGCGCTACGCCAGCGCGCGCTAGCGTAGCCGAGGCACGGGAAGCATAGCTATCGATTAGCGCTCCCAGCGTTTCACGAGCGTTTCACTAGCGTTTCGCTAGCGTTTGCAGCGGCGGGGCTAGAGAGTATAGAAGAGTAGGAGAGTACAAAATA